CACACCTCTGCAGCAATAATCCTTCCATATAAACCACTAGGAAAGTACTACCAATTTCTCTGCAACTCCATGCACTTTGTTCTATTACAGCCTGCTTTCACCCACTGAATGCTAACAACGATATTGAAAACAGCGTTTTTACACACGACAAAGAGTTCATTTGTGTTACAAGCAAACTGGGGGAAAAAAAAAAAAAAAAAAAAAAAAAAAAAAAAAAACACCAAAACCAAACAACCCAACAGATCAGAATTCTTAAGGGGACAAAAATTCCCAGACCTCCCAAGTTCGAAGCCCAGCTTTCAGCCCTGCCTATTTTTACACTTAGAAAAGTGGATTTAGACATGCAGCTACACCTAGTGATCAGCAGCAGATCACAGCAGGCAGACTCAGGAAGTGCTCCTACGCTGCGACAGCAGAAATAAATATGTGAGCACAGAGAAGGAAAGAGAGGAAAGCCGCACAGTAATATTTCTTTTTAAAAAGTTTATTACTAAATTTATTATCACAAGTTCCAAATTGTCTTTGGCTTCCTGAAATCCCTTTTAATACACATTAACTGAAAAATGCACATTTGGAAATTATCAGCAAAATCAAATGAAATAAAGAGGATCTTTTCAATGTTTCCTACCAAAACAGAGCAGAAGCAAAGTAATTCAGATGCACTCGTACATTAATAAACAATTTACTCCCGGTGAAATTTTCAGAACCACTCAAGAGAATCACTATCAAAATGCATCACAACAAACTCAGGATCAGCTCTCAGGTCCCAACCCAACAATAGCGCTGTGTTCCAACAGGTCTGTGCCTGTTATCTCCACCAGCTGAGCCCAATGACGCAAAATGAAGCCATGTCCCAGCAGCAACCTGCACAAGTGCCCAGGCCACCAGCAACCCCCTCGATATGGCAAACTCAGTGACCCACTCAGCATACGAGCGAGAAAAACATACTCCACATTTCTTCAGATGAGACCCAAGTGATTCAGTGAGACAGAGACCAGAAGCTTACTTGCTTTACCCCGACACCTTTCGTGATTTGCTCTCTAGCTGCCAATCCATCACTTCTGAGAGCACTAAATAGATTATTTTCCGTAAGCTATATGTTGCTATATTGTTTCTGGATGCTAATTTATTTTCCTCATGGATTCTGATGACGACTAAGTTGTGAGGCTGAAGAAGACATCACAGGAATATTTCAATGTTATTACATCCTTGTAATCTTCTGGAAGGCTTATTTTTAATTTCTGGTGTAGTTTCTTTACTAACTTTTGACAGTAGAACAATAGAAAAAGCAAGATTCACCACCCAGCTTCTTTTTTGACACTCCCAAAGTCCAGACCCTCATTCTGTTTGAAGAATTCCAGAGTACATCCCAATTTATAGGGAAACGCAAAGTTTATTTCATCTGTTTCTAATCATCAAAAAAAAAAAAGGTCTGAAAAATAAAGACCTATTAGAAGCTGATTCCTTCACATTCTTCCACTAATTTGCAGGATCATTTTAAATGCAATTAGTCTCGGGTGAAGAGCACAAATCGAATCATTCACCTGCATAAACGGGAGCAGCACAATGCTCTGACAGTGAGGCCCTTGGTCTGAAAGCCCTCTCTCACAGCTCGCCCTGCTCACAGGGCCAAGCCCATGCTAACACTTCAGCTGAAGATGCGCTGCTAGGCTGACAGCTGCTCCAGGCACTGAGATCACCACATCCTCACCAGCGTTTCTTCCCTCAGACAGCACAGGGATGGGAACCACTGCCAGACAGGAGGAGAGCAGGTGAAATAAACAACACCAGCAAACACAGAACGTGTTAAAATAAGACAACAACACAAGTAGAGATCATTGTTGGCAAAGTAATCAGAGTATCTATCAAATGCTTCTAGACACAGATCCTGAATACTCTGAGAAACCTCTTTAAACACCTCTTTAAGTTAATTACAGCAGAAAGTTTTTACTTTCTGTACATTTCTCTGAATGCCAGGAACTTCCCTTCAGCTGTGGTTGGACCTAGAGAGACTTCATTTCTCTTCTTTCTTTCTTTCCATCCTCCCTCTTTGCGAGCACTGTGACGATGCTGGTGTTCAGGAAGTTTCAGCATGTTACATTTCTTCCTTATGTCTGTTTTTGGAAAATGTGATTCTTGTTTTCAAGAGTGCTTACACCCAAAACTGAAACAGATGAACGTGAAGGCACGGCATCTATTTAGAGCACAAGGTTTGTATTTTTCTTCCATGAAACAGCTGGGGGACTGCTGTGCTCTACATAAAAACTTTACCAGTCCCTAACCGAAGCAGTTTCCAGTTCTGTGCAGCACCTTCTCTCCCTCTCATTCTCCTCCCCAGCTGCCTCCTGTGCTGGCCTAAAGTTACTTGGGAAGAGCCTCCCAGGAGCATTTCTATGCCACCCCCCTCTCTTGAGCACTGCAACAGGCCCATCCCCTCTCAGACAAGGAAAACTTTCAGCAAAAGTACCATAAAATGAATGCTGCTTTCTGCAGCAAAAGAGAACAGTGTGCTCTAATAACAGGCCTCTCTAGGTCAGTCGGGTTATAAGCAAGAAGCACCAATTTCAGAATTCAGGCTGTATGCAAATGTAAATCCACCCGAAAATGATGCCCTTATAAAAGCACAGTTTCTGCATTCTATTACACATCTCCCTGCCTTCAATTTCAGACACCCATTCTGGTGTTTGACAGAACTCATTACATCCAGACTCCACATTTTATGGAAGATCTAATATTTAGGCACACAATGTCCCTTCTCACTTGCCACATCTTTGGGTTTGACCCAGATCCCCTACAGGGATGAACCGCTCCCCCTAAGCTGCAGAACCCACGGGGAACGAGGAGAAGGAGCACCGCACAGCCAGGTGGTACTTTGTGTGACAGCAACATCACACAATCCAGGAACTCTGCACTGTGAGCCTTCCCGCGGCCTCACTTTGTCATATTTACGCTAAAACTATAAACAGAAATCAGCCAACCCAGGTATGCAAGCGTTTCTCAGGAACAAGCAATTTGCTTTGCAGCAAGACCCCAGCTACTTCTTAAAATAAGCACTGTCCATATAATACGTTTTCAGCAACACATCTCGAATCCAAATTCTTGAAACCATTTGCTTCTGGAACCAATGAGTGCAGAATTTTAAGTTCCTTAGTTAAGGACTCAGAGAAAATCTCATTGTTATTAACTGTTAAGCTGCTTTCCAAAGATTACTTGAAAGCTTCCAGGCCTTAGAAAGCCAAGATCTGATCTTTCGGTATGATTGTTTTCTAAATAAGAAATACAAATAAAACAATGACTGAAGGTAACATTAGAACTAATCTCTGCCAAATAGATCAATTACTTTAGGAAAAGGTAAAAACAAAAACAGAATGAGAAACGCCAACGCACCCGCTGATATTCTTTGCTTCAAACAGCCATCGAGTTGGTTTTCTTTTCTTATTGCTTCATCTGTTTTTTAAAATTTTTAGAGGTTATTCATGTAACTCCCATTAGCAACAGGGGACGGCAAGCACCGAGAGAGGAATTTTGTGTGATTTAATTTCTATGACACTGATGCATCACGCTTTCAACAAAAGCAACAGCATTTTTTTTCCTCCTAAGCAAAACCGACTCCCAGGCACAGACTTCAAAAGGGGAAGTGCAAAAATGGAGTGCCAACAGTCAATATTAAAAAAAGAACAAATGGTACTTGCCCCATCATTAATGCTTTCCATTCAGTGTTTCACATACAGGTACATATGCACACACACAGGGAGAGGGCAGACCAGATCCTGTCCTTGTAACATCCTCCACAGCCCCACTGAGGTGCATGGATAGCAGCATCCCTCAGTCAGTGCACTGGAAGCTGTGGAATCGCCCCTTTTGCCACAAGCCTATGCACAGGTCATTAAATCCACTTAAGGACATCACTGAACCATTTGTGCTTTCTGTCACTGTGTGTTTGCTGCCACAGCGTGCAGCTATGGAAGTGAATACATGAATGGCACTTATGTGCTGACTGTAGCAGAGCATCAGGGTACCACATACGTAAGTCACTTCAGAAGTGCTGTTCCAGCCCAACTTTAAGCAAGAAACCCGACAGTTGGTGCAGGGCAGCAATGAGTTTGGGATTCATCAGAATGAAGCAAGAGCTCTCCCTGAAGCCTGGACACCAGATTCCCAATATCAAGGAGTTATAGGGCTAATGTGCATGAGTTCAGCTTCATAAACAGTTGCGGAGCATAGCTTCAACCTAGCACGGGTGTTAGGGAAAGCTTTCATCATCCTTCTGTACCACCTCGGTGCAAAGCATCCTCCCTCTCAGGAACCCTCTTTCTCATCCGCGGTAATAACACCGAAGATAATCTAAAGGAAACGCAGCCGCGTACACAGAACGTTCACGGAACCTGACATAAAACCGGAATTCGGTAGTTTTTCAGCAAAGTTTAGGAGCACCCACGGTATCTGCAGCGCAGAGCACTGCAAACACGACGCTCGGCAGCCGGGCTGCAGGACGCACAGAGCCTACCGAGCGGGTCGGAGCCTAAGCCCGACACCAGATGTCCCCCATTGCTGTTAGCCGCGCTAACTTCGTGCGAGAAGCAAAACAGAAAGCCCCAAAGTGACTCCCTGCAACGGAGCGCGCTGAACTATTTCACAACCCACATTCCCGTCTAAAAGTACGGGTTTCCTCAGCACGGAAACAGGACGGGGAGCAGCCAGGGGGGTCCGAACACGCCGTTAACCGTCTGCACGCCGAGAGCGAAGTATCGCTGCTCACGCCCAGAACCGGGGGCAGCGGAGCCCCTCCGCTCCCGTACGGGGCAACGGGGAACTCCGGGCAGCCGGCGGCAGGGAGCTGCGGCTCGGCCCGGCCGCGGCATCCCGCCCGCCTCCCTCGGGGACTCTCTCTCCCCCACCAACTCCAGTATCAGCCCCGCCGGAAAGACGGAGAGAAAAAAGAACTCGAGGCGAAGCCCCGCCGGCTCCGGAGCCGCGGTGCAGGCGAGGCGGCCCCTTACCTGTGAACGTCTGCGCTCCCGCCGCCAGCAAAAGTCCGGCCAAAGTCACCAGGCAACTTCCAACTTTCCCCATATTTCCACCCCTTCCTGCTCCGGGTCCAGCAAAGTGCCAAAGTGTTCGCCAAAGTGGGAGACGGCCCTCTTCGCCCCTCTCCCGTCGGCTGGGAGGGGGAGCCGGACCCCCGCTGGCTGCCCCGCGGCCCCCGGCTCCCCTCGGACTCTCTTCGCCGGCGGAGGCGCGGAGAGAGCGGGGCGGACGGCTCCTCGGGCAGCTCCGCTCTCCCGCGCCGTCCCCTCCGGCCGCCTCCCCCGAGGGGAACTGCGATCCCGGCACCTCCCCACTCGCCCGCTGCCGCCGCCGGCCCCGCTCCGCTCTGCTCCCGGACTGACTCGCGGTCCCCCCGGCGGGCGGGCGGGTGAGGGAGCGGGGAAGGCACGCCCAGCCGCCGGCGCCGCCGCTCTGCCCCGCTAGAGGGCGAGGCGGCCGTACGCGGCGCGGCGGGGGCCGCTGACGGGAGCTCCGTATCCGCCACCCCGAGAGCCGCCGCTTTCGGCCCGAAGTTCAGCCAGCAACCTCAGTAACTTCACTGGCCGTCGCGGGGACAGGGATGGGCGGCCGGGCAGAGAAGGGTGAATGTCAGAGGGGGACAGCGCTGTGCGTTTCGTAATCGTTTTGTTTTTGTACAAGGCGCTGTCGGAAGGGCCGTTCGGCGAACACCGCGAGCGTCAGCACCGACGGAGTGGGATACAGAGCTGTGAGCGGAATGCGGGCACCGTGCCGGGCAGAGCCGCCTCGTGTTCGGGTACCGCCGCCAAACCGGAGTGGCTGTGCCCTCCTGCGGGGCTCCCGTGCGGCCCCGGCAGTGTGGCGTTACGGAGTGGGGCGTGACGTCATCGTGGCAGCTCGCGTTCGTCATCTGCCCCTAGGAGTTTTTGCTCCTTGTAGGGGTTTGGCTCCTTTCGGATGCCACAAAGAAGAGTTTGTTGATTTTAAACCAATTTTGTTGCTTTTGGACCTCTGCGTGTGCAAGTATTGTTGTTGGCTATCGCTTGCAGTGAAAGCTGTCCTTTTTCTTTATTTCAGGTGCAGGTGTCAGGCCAGATTCATCCCTGGTTATCCTCTGGGGTTATAAATAAAACAGTGAAAACAAGAATCGAAGTAATGCCAAAATGAAGGGTTCGAGCTGGCAAATGCTCAGATTTGGGTTCTGCTTTCTCCAGAATGGGCCCTCTGTTTTTATGGCACTCTAACACGTAGTTACCAGCTCCAGTCTCGTTGCAGAGTGAAGCCTTAAATCCCATCCCCCCCCCGCACAGCACTGCAACTGATGACACATTGAAGATGTGTGCGTGCTTTTGATTGTGTTTCCATCTAATACAGCCCCTTCAAACTTCGGCCTCCAGCTGTACCGCTTCCTGCGATCCTCCGACTGCCCTGTTGTCAAGGTGCCGTGCCATTGGGTTTTAGCAACGTGTTTGAAGCGTGAGGAAGGGACGTGAGCTGGGAGATGTGCAGGGTACAGGCAGCCGCCTCAGACAGGAACACAAGAGGGCAGGGTAGCATTAATTGTTGTGCTTCCTGACGTCAGACTTCTTTGCACTGTGAGCATTTTCTCTGTTTGTTATCTGCCTGGAACTTCTTAGGCTTCCCAGTGAAGTTTCCATAGAACCCACAAACCTTTATAGCCTATGGTGGTGTTTTTTTTTTTTTTTTTTCCAATGTATTTTTTCCAATAATAATCCTCCCTTTTTTTTTTTCCTCTGGGTACATAATTTAAGCAAATTATATGTTCTCTAAAGCTGCAGTTATAGCATCTCTAAATTAGAACTAGTCTTGAAAGCGTTACCCGTGTAATTACAACACTTTCAAGAAAAAAACACATGAAGTCTCATAAGAAGTTTAACTTACAGTAAATTTAATTTTCAAGCATGTCTACATTTATCACTAAAAAATCCAGAAATCTGCAGTTAGCTCATGCTAATGATGACTTCTCTCTAGGTTCATAATGTACAGAAACACATTTTAAAAATGGAGCTCTAATCACAGAATCATTAAGATTGTAAAAGACTACTGGGGTCATCTAGTCCAGACCATCACCTCATGTCCTTCAGATCAACTAATGTCAGGCTTAATACGATGTGGTAAAATATGTTCAGACATATAACCTTAACCCTGACCCCCATCTTTTTCACAGGGAAATGGGAAGATGGGAAGTCTATGCCTATATCCATTGCTATCTAATGTTAGTTTACAGAAGATGAGATAGAAAATAAAATCATCAAGTTCAATGGAAGAGCAGATACAAGTGGTCACAGTAATAGCAGGAGGAGGGCTAAAGTCACCGACCTTCAAAGACATAACCATCCTGTTTTAAAAACATTTTTTTTAAAAAAGAATGCTGGGGAACAGCTAAGGCAAAAACAGAAAACACAGGTGCAGTCAATCAGGAATCATTAGTTGCTTTTCATTGAATATTGATATTCGAGTGTGTATGCAAACATCCCAGAAACAGTACAAAAAAGAACTAGAGCATTAAGAAAACTTTAGGCATAAAACAGGTTTGATGTGATTTGACTAAGGAAGACCTTCAGGAGAGTTCTTGGGCAGCCTGATCTGTTGGGTGGCAGCCCTTCCCATGGCAGAGTGTTGCAGCTGGGTAATCTTTAAGGTCTCTTCCCACCCAAGCCGTTCTGTGAGTGTTCATTAAGAGCTAAGCTGTGTCTGGGAAGTGGATTGGAAGCATCTGCAAAAAAAAAAGAAAAAAAAATTCCTTGGATGATCTGCTTTTGGACTGACTTGTCTCAAAAAATACCTGATGACAGTTCTCCTCCACAGACACATCCAGCTCAGGAAAATAGATAGTAGAATCGTAGAATCATAGAATCATAGAATGGTTTGTGTTGGAAGGGACCTCTAAGATCATCTAGTTCCAACCTCTGCTATATGCAGGGACACCTCCCTCTAGACCAGGTTGCTCACAGCTCCATCCAGCTGGCTTTGAACACTTCCAGGGAGGGAGCATCCACAGCCTCACTGTGCAACCTGTTGCAGTGTCTCACCACTCCCACAGGAAAGAATTTCTTCCTGATATCTAGTCTAAATCTGTCCTCTTCCAGTTTAAAGCCATTTCCCCTCGTCCTGTCACTGCCTGCTCTTATAAAACATCCCTCCCCAGGTTGCTGACTGTTCCTGCTGAAAGGAGTCACACAATGTGACAGTTCACAAGTAAGATGTGGAATAAGGAGAAAAATGAATATGGAAGCTGGCATAACCAGCTGTTCTCTAAATTTTGATGTACATTGAAGAAATGCACATAATGTATGTTGAATGGTTTTGTTCTGTTTTTAAATATGGAATTTTTGTATTTTCCACTGAGGGTAAATTAAACAAGTTGTTGATAAATGATGAATAATTGCACTGTTTATTGCACAGACCTGACTGACTCAGCTGTCTAGAGAGTGTCTGCTAATCACTCTCTTGCAAATCCATTCCCAATATTTTGAATCTGAGCTGCTTCTGACAAATGATTTGTGAAATTTCAAAAATGATGGAGAAACGTATTACTGGTTAGAGGGGTCAGAGATTCATACACTATCGCTATGTGGAAACAGAAACAAGGGCTTGACTGTTGTCCAGGAAAAGTTCTTAGAGTAGGCATATGTCTATCCTTGACAACTATACATACTGCACTGGTCTACTTAGCTGTTGGCTTTCCTTTAAGGCATCAGTGATATTCACAGTGCTGTTCATTCCATGTTACTGGCACAAGAACAAGTAAACATATCTCAGATTCCGTAAGATATCATGGCCATTGTGCATAATCCATAGTGTGAGGTCACCCTTCCTATAATGATATGAAGCAGGAATAATCTCTTGCTCATGTTACAGTACAAATAGAAAGGTGAAGACTCATATTGAAGTACTGGAGGAAAGCCCAAATGTCCTGCCTTTTTTTACCCATGACAATGCTGATTAAGTGTCCAAGCATGTGCGATCAGTAGCAGATAATATCTCTCTCACAGCTCAAAGCTTTTTTTTGCAGTAGTCGGGCAGGAATAGTTTTCACTAGCCCTCTTCATCTTGTTCTAAAGCACAGACAGACATGAGTCTTTCATTGACAACACTATTTAAATAATTAAGTAATATTCTTCAAAGGGTAGGGGCACATTATCTTTAGTAAGTACATTGCTGCCAGCTCCTTTGTGAAAGTAAGGTGTGCTTTGTTAGAAAGAAGGCAATGATTCAGACAGTTCTTATTTTACCAAGGCTACTTCTCTGCTGCAGTCAAATTCCAGAGCCAATCCTTGATCAGTCCAAGAGGGCTACTCAAGCAAAATCATACCATCCCTAGAAGAGTGTGCCAAACTTCAAAGGTTATACCATTTGTCTATCTTTCTTCTTAAACACAGAACAATATATTCTCCTTTACCAATGTTCACCTGTCTTTAGATAGCTTTATCTCCACATCTGGATTTTCGTTGCTACTCTTCACCTTTTCACTGCGGATTTCTTTTATCCAAAGCTTCATAAAGAAAGTGCATGTATCTGCGTGACAGGATTTATTGACTGCATTGTACTAAATCACATTGTATTTCACAATGTTTAGTGTTTCTATATCCATCAATGCTGTTAAAGTTTCATTTGATATTAAAGAGTTATTTCAGTCATCAGTGTAGTGTTCTGAAAAAATCTTCCAGTGTTCATTCAAAAACTCAGATCAACTTCTTTTTTTTTTCTTTTTCTTTTTCTTTTTTTTTTTTTTTCAGAGGGGTAAAGTGAGGACATAGCAGTGTCCTTAAAAGATCATATTCACCCTGTACCCTGTCTTTCTCTGCCTCAGAGGAGCAACAAAGAACTCCTTGGAATCTAAGGTCAATGTAAACCAGCTGCAAAATCTGCTGCTTACAAAAGGTTTCCTCTGCAGTAGAGGCTCATCATATTTCCTGCTTATTGCTGCTGGAGCTTTCTGGCTCTGGAATTGATCCCTGATCATTCATTTGGCACTGAGTTGCACTAATCACAACTGTGACTGTTCCCAATCAGATATTGTCATCTGTAACATGACTGTATTATTATTATTATTATTTTAGTACTGCTAATGATTTGTGCAAGCAATGATAATGATCTATTTCGTACCAAGGACACCTTGCTTTATTCACTTGATCGCTGTGCAATTTGGTGGTAAAAAGCAAGCTTCTC